GTGTACATGGTATTTTGAAACAGATAATTGATTGTGCTTGAATACTCTACCATTTACATCCATGTTAAGTACTACCACTAAGCCCTCTGCCCATTAGTTGTGCCACATGCATTGTATCGATTTTAATTTTCACTGTTAAGTTAAAGTAATAAGGTAATTTTTTTGTCTCACAGAAAAGTTGTGGATTTTGTCATTGAAAATAATTTCCAGGATTTAGTCAACAAGACCAAGAAGTACTTGGTAAGATATTTTGCTTTTGTTTGAAGCAGCTATTAGGATGTTTTGAAAATTCATTTTAACAGTACAGTGTGATCAGATTTTGTGAACTTTTAATGTAATGAGAACTTCCAGTATTTCCCCACTGCTGGCATTTTCTTCATGGTTTGTACTATTAATACAAACAATCAAACTGCTTATTTTTGTATGACATTGCACCATGACCTGACCTTGAATACTAACATGAGGTCAGTGAACTTCATTTTGATCTCAGGCCTTCTTTTCAAGAGTAGTTTCCATGACAGCAGACCTGATTTCCAAATGGCAATCTGTTGGCTTTGCTCACGGTAAAATATGAAGAAAGCATTTTGATGTTCAAGGTCTTTTCATGAGAGTTTTATTTTATTCAACTTTGATTATTGTTATTTCATTATTTTTGGGAGGTGTCTGCAACACGGACAATTTTAGTCTGCTGTCAATAACCATAGACTACGGTCCTTTTGGATTCATGGATGACTTCAACCCAGGTAAAGAGGACAACTTTGATGAAATTTGACACATCTGGGATTTGATTCCAAATTTGTTCATGGTGACTGGAACTGTTTGAGTACAAATTTGACAGACATTTTGATGATCTCTGGCCGTAGACTTTGTCCCTAACACATCAGATGATGAAGGAAGATACAGTTACAAGAATCAGCCGAATGTTGGGTTTTTTAACTTAGAAAAATTGCTCCAAGCACTTAAACCATTGATTGAAGATTACAGTGAGTAAGTCTAGCTAAAATTGTTGAACATCATCATGATTAACCTTGAATGGTGACTTTTTAACTTAAAGGTATTTGTTTAATTGGCCAGTTGTATGCCCACAAGTACTTGTTCAGTTTAAATTCACAAGGCTTGTAATTACCATTGATTCTTACTTGGTTTGATGCAGTATCGTTATTTTGCTTTTTTGTTATAGAGGAGAGAAAGTTCTTTGGAGTTATGTGGATAGATTTAACCAAAGGTGATGTGCAAGCACCTGCTCACTCTTAGTACCCCAAGCTGTAACACTTTTTTATCGCAATGGCAATTAGGAAAAAAAAAATTTCAGAAGGTTTATTTGCCGCAATAGTCGTCAATTTGACGACTTGAAATTAAGTGATTGTGGGGTAAAGTTAAAGTGAGTTGAACATTTGTATAACTGAGTTGAAAACGTAAATTGGCCACCGTAAAGAATTAAAAGGCGGACGTTTCGAGCGTTAGCCCTTCGTCAATCGCTCTGACGTTTTAAAAAGAAGATGCTTCTTTCTCTTCGGTTAAATGAGATGTCGCATGCAGCTCTATGAAAAATTTCCAGCTCAGTTCCTTAATTTCATAGACAAGCAGTGTGACAAGCAATATTCTCCATGGGGAAAAAAACTCTTTTCTAGCGGTTATTTCAACTTTTTTAAGACTCCGGGACGTCAAATGTCAAAATGACCACGGCGAACTCGCACGTTATTGCTAGCCATTATTTTGGAGGGAATTGGGATAGAAAATAAATAACTTGGCGGAATCCAACTCTTTTTACAACAACTTTTCCTACAACAGAATGGTTCTGGCGTTAAAAATCAATTGCAACTTAAGATTTAGTAAAGGTGCTATGAGAGTTTGGAGACACATTGTTTTGTGATTTTAGGTTTCTGAGCATATTTCGTCGCAAACTTGGTTTACTTTACGAAGATGAAAATGACGAAATGCTTATTCACTCTTTCCTTTGGGTAAGTTAAACACGTTAAGTTTCGCTGAAACCACAAGTTTTGTCAGAAAAAAAAAGCGAACATGTTGGTCCATCTGTATGTTGACCTAAGGATGTCTCTTGTCTTAGAAGCTTTGAGAAGGAGGCGAATTTGCCTTCAAGATGTCATTGTATTTTATCTTTTCATATGGATTCGTATTCATGTTGTCTATGGTTTCTTTCCAGATAATGTCGTCCACTCATGCAGACTTCACTATGGCCTTCCGAGAGTTAAGTGAAGTATCCTTGCATGATGTTAATTCAAACCGCTTGCCGAGAGAAACATGGGCACTCAAACAACTACAGACGCACAAGAACTGGGGAGACTGGTTAGCACACTATGTAGACAGGTCTCGGCTGTAAGTATTGTCTGCAGTCTCTGATGCTTTGATATCAAACGGAAGTTTACTTCATGCAAATATTTTTTTTACTAGGTATAGTGACACTAATGTTGACAAGGCCAGAAGAAAACAAATGCAAGGTGAAAACTTAATCCCTTTAATTTTACGCTGGTGAAGAAATTACCATAAGCTATTTCTTGTTATGTTATGCAACACTCATCAAAGTTGCACTTCCCCTAAATTGTTACCCAAGCGGATAAGTGTAGGGAAAAAATGAAAGGGTTATGTGGACAAAATATTTGCAACAGTGTAAGGATTAAATCATCTTTGTCGATCATTTCTGGAGATTTCTTTAGTTTAGTTTTTTAACTTCAGATATTGTTCAGCCCTGTGCACCTACTTAGTGACTTACTGTGCACCTACTTAGTGACTTACTGTGCACCTACTTAGTGACTTACTGTGCACCTACTTAGTGACTTACTGTGCACCTACTTAGTGACTTACTGTGCACCTACTTAGTGACTTACTGTCTTTATATTAGTTTAGTTTTTTAACTTTAGATATTGCTCACGCCTGTGCACCTACTTAGTGACTTATTGTCTTTATATTAGTCGATGTTTGTGTTCTTCTTTCAGAAGTAAATCCTCGCTATGTTTTACGTAACTGGATGGCAGAATCAGCGATACAGAAGGCGGAAAGGAATGATTTTTCAGAGGTCGGATATTCCTTATTTTTCCTGTGTTCCCCTTTGCAGGGATTTCGATTAAATAATTTTGATGTTGAATGTTTGTTATTAGAATCAAATTTTTTGTCTATCAAAGATTTTGTCTTCAACAGCATATGAAAATAGTTAACGCAGTACACATAGAAATTTTCACTATATCTTCCTTTTAGGTTCGTCAGTTGCTTGAGGTACTCAAGTTACCTTTTACAAAACAGGTATATGATATGCTGTAATCAAACAGTACATTGTCACACCACATTCCTTCCAATATTTCGCGCAGCAATTTCCGTACCTCTGTACGGGAGATTCATAACCAAACTTTTAGTCCGAAAAAACCGCTGGAATTATTTCCTTGTAATTCCCCAAATTAAATGTCAGTGCTGTTATCTTAACAGTCTTAGTGCCAGAAACAGTGAACTTTTGTAACAATTTACAGGAGGTTGCTGAGAACCTTGGATACTCGTCCCAACCTCCGGAATGGGCCTCTCACCTCCGCGTCAGCTGTTCTTCATAGAACATATTTTACAAAGACTGATGGTGTTCTTAAGAATCTTGAAGTGCTGAGTGTCTGCTGGGTGGAAGATGACACCTGGAGGAGCAGCTCAATGAACATCTGTTGATAAAAATAGAAACAAAGTGACTTAATCTTAAATATGTAAATACATCACTTCCATATCACCTTAAGTGGATGAGGGCCACCACTGATTAGTGCACAATGAATAAATAAAACTGATTAGTATGAATCAGGGGCCATTGTGAAAGGGGCCATTGTAGTCCTGTAGCATGCACCAATAGTTTGGTTACTGGTTCACTTTCAATTGAGATTTATGATCTTTATTTTAGCCAGAGCGTCAAAAACAACACAAGCAAGTTCACGTTATGCCGGCCGTTTGACCTAATATTTTGTCCTTTGAGCTGACTGACCCCCAACATTCTAGAGAGTATAACAGGGTAATTTATTATTATCAACTGAGTTGATAACGTAAATTGACCACCGCAAAGACTTTAAAAGCTGACGTTTCGAGCGTTAGTCCTTCGTCAATCGCCCTGACGAAGGGCTAACGCTTTAAACGTCAGCTTTTAAACTCTTAGCGGTGGTCAATTTACGTTATCAACTCAGTTGCTAATAATAAATTACCCTGTCACTCTGCCACTGACGCAGCACCACAGTTTCTTTAGAAAGTTATCCCCTTTGTTCATTCTAGAGATTAGCTGTGTTTACTCCCACTCCTCCTTCTATAAATAAACAAATCCGCAAGGCTGGGAAACAAAACTAAAACAAAAGACCTTTAAAATTTTTTACCACGCGATAAGTTTGACAAATCAATCATACAGGTGATAGGTATCATTCAATAATTTAGTGCCTTCTGACTTTTCTTATTGTCAAACCAAGTCATGAAGATGATTTCGGAGCCATGAGTTCAATTAGCTTACG